GCAAGAGAAGTGGTGTGTCTTTTTTATTCTAACTCCTACACGCCCTTAGATACTAAATGTTCCTTCAAGCCATGTGATCAAAACACTGACCTGGGCTGATAATTTCTAACAATGGCACACTTGGTATTTAGTTTAGATGGGAAGTCAGACATTGAAGCTGTTAATTTAACTACTTAATCCAGAATAAACCTTGGCACTCACTGTACCTTAAAGCTACGGTGATGGTGACTACGTTTATTGAAGATCCTCTTTATTTTTATATCTTGCCCCTTTTCAAAATAGTCATTTGCTGAGTTCCTTTTTTCTCTCCAGTACCAAAGCTGTAATTGTGCATGATTTAGTCAAGCACTCTCATCACAGAGGACATTCTGCCTGAAGGAACCAGGTTGGCCGAGTCTGTCTGGTGTTCTAAAACACATTTTTATTGGCTTGCCCTCTGTTATGTTCTAAGATGTACAGTATGTCGCTTTTATTGTTTGACATGTTTTTTGTTTTGTTTTATAGTTTAGTTTTTATTCTATGTAAAACACTTTGTAAACCCTGTTTTAGAAAGCTGCTTCACAAAGACATTTTATTAGCCTCCACATCCATACTGCTCCATCAGATCGCCTTCCTTCATGATGCTTGTAGACCAGAGGGCAGTGTTTAATATGTTCAGACGAAGCGCTGTTAGCACGCTGCACTCTTGCACCTGTTGGATTGCCTTATTACAGGTCTATCTCCTCTCAACAGTCACTACCGATCCAAGTCATTAGACAGCAGAGTGCCTGCTTGAGAGAGCACTGGAGCAGAAAGATATAGAGAGAGGGAGGGTGGGAAGGGGAGAGAGGGAGAGAAACAGCAGATAAAGAAGGGAGAGATGAACCAGGGGCCAACTCCCACTGCCAGCAGAGGAGAGCGTCAAAGAGGGGAACACAGAGGAAACAGAAAAAGAGAAAAAGAAAAATGACTGAGGCAGACAGATGAGGAAAAATAGGCAAAAGAAACAGGAGGATTCGGGAGAATAATCTGATGAGAGATACAAAAAGATAAAGATGAAGAAAACCAAAAAAATCAGGAAAAAGGAAAAAGAAATCTGGTTCAAGAAAGAGCCTGGGATCAAATGTAAAAGACAGAGAAAGACTCACACCGATGAGATATTTGTGAGTCATGATAAAGCTGGCAAAGAGAATCAGGTATTACACTCATACACTACTTAATCAGAATGGAGGAGGAGAGAGAGTTATGGTGAAAGTACCGTAGTACTTGAGGTTAACTTGAGTGTTGGTGTCACTGTCTCCCTGAGGTGAAGAGTGCCTGTCCGTAAATATCAGCATGAATATCAGAAAAAAAAGAAGAGAAATAAAAATGAACATATTAAAGTAATTATATAAGGGCTGTGTGGTTTGGTGTCTGAGATCTAGGGACACGTGTAGCACGACCGTGTGGATGTCCCCCAGTGAGCTTTGAGCAAAATGCTTGTGGTCTCAAAAGGCACTTGGGCACCGCATATTAGAAATACAGCATGACACACAAGTTTACACTAAGCTACTCACAAGTGCTGAGTGTATTGGGATGCAGCATTCAGATTTAATTGCAATTTTAATTTGTGGTACAATTTGTTAAAAGGTGTTCTTCAGCCTCACTTTGAGTCCGATCTTGGTACTTTCCCTTTCATTGTTTTCTCTGGGCTGGTGGCAGAGCTTCTAATCTCGCTGGAGGATCATGCTCCCTTCTGTCACTCATTTTCCATGGCCAGCTTGTGCCCATCTGCACTTTTTTGGGAGTGTTGTGTATTTCTGTGTCTCTCTGTTGTTGCTGTCCTCACTCTTGCCCCACACCATACCCATCATTTCAATTTAATTCCATGTTCCATTTCGTTCCTATCCACCACACTCACAAGGAATCTAACCTGGGATTTTAAACCCTTTTGCCAGCTCGTACACTCTCTGAGGGACACAGTCGAATGAAAAATGCTTGTACTGTACCACTGTGTGCAGAGAATAGTAACGGTTTTCAGAGCACTCAGTCAGAGGTCAGGAAAGGATCTGACAGCTTTGTATTCACAGCAGTGACTCAAAGGACCAAATGACTCCTGCAAACGTCAGATTCCCTCATCGACGAGGTGGCACAATGGTGAGACAATCCAGTGGCGTTTCTGGGACACACCTACTGTTGCAGTTTCATCCATAATAAAATATTCTGATTTTTTTACCACTAGATTGCAGCACTCCTGTGAATCCACATTTATCATTAGTACTATAGATAAGTAGGGGGTAAATAAAAACTGAAATAACGTAACTGACATTTACATGCATGGTTTTTCACACACATTATATCGATAATGATTAGTCAGGAAATATGATTTTAATCGGTCACCTTTTTCATTATGTGCAAATCTCATGTTGTCTCTCACTATAAGATCATTATGGTATGTATAGTGCAACCTCTTGTTGTCTAGTATAAATATTACATCATTTAATTTAATGCAGTTTGTGCTCACAAATAAATCATTTTTAAGCAGCTTGTATGGTAAAAACTACATTAAAATTACAAATTAATATACATATAATATATATTCTTACCTATATGTTTTATTCCAAGAAATTTACAAGTTGTAAAGTAGGTTTAATAATACACCATACTCTCAGCTAATGATGAAATATTATAACTCAGTGGTTATATTAACCCATCTCACCTGAAGTGTCTGTAAACAAGTAATTAGATGAGAGTGAAGAGGTAATACATATCAAAAGTAGTGACCATACAACTGACATGTATTATCCCTTCATTCTCATCTAATTTCTTGTTTACAGAAGCAGCATTATAATGAGTAAATCTTTGGCATTTTCGACAGACAAAACAAGTGCTAATCTAGGAACAAATGGCTCTTACCCAAGACTCCAGTACCCCACACTCCCGAAGTACAAGATCCCACGAGGGACCCGGTGGTAGGCTTTCTCCAAGTCCACAAAGCACATGTAAACTGAATGGGCAAATGCACAAGATCCCTCCAGTAACCTTGCAAGAGTAAAGAGCTGATTTACTGTTCTAAGACCAGGACAGAATCCTCATTGTTCCTCCCGGATCTGAGGATTAACAATCGGTTGGATCCTCCTTTCCAGCACCCTGGCATAAGCTTTTCCAGGGAGGCTGAGTAGTGTGATACCCCAGTAACTGGAGCACACTCTCCAGTCCACCTTTTTAAAAATGGGATCTGTCAGTCCTCAGGCACTGTCCCCATCCAGCATGTGACACTGAAGAGGTGTGTCCACTATGTCCAGAGCCTTCAGCAGCTCAGGGCAATCTCATCTGCTCTAGGTGCCTGGCACTGAGGAGCTTTTTGACTACCTCAGACACCTCTACCAGCGATGTGGGATAGGCCAATTCTGCCTCCTCCTTGGAGCACATGTGAGACAGATTCAAGAGTTCCTCAAAGTGCTCCTTCCACCGCCCAACGATATCCCCAGTCTGAGTCAGCAGTTCTCCTCCCCTGCCAAACACAGCCTAGGCCGAACCCTGCTTTCCCTTTTGAGTCATCAGATTTATGATTACATTTATTTCTAATGGATGAGTTTTGTTGGTCTATTTAAGTTTAAATTATTTCCAGGGCCAAATTTGTCTGTGCACAAACTTAAATCATGATTTTCCTGCTTAGTGCACAAAGTGAGCATTCAATCAATATCATCTGCAAGTCTGCAAAATGAATAAATGGTATCCACTATAAATCCAAATTATTTTGTTCTGTAGGCTCATGTGTTTGCAATACATGATGCATAAGCACAACATTTCTCTGTGTTCTTTGAATTGACATAAAATTATTTCTTGCACTTACGGAAACAGCTGTTGTAATTGAGCAAACAATACAAAACAAGCCTGTGATGGAATTCCAGGAATCAAGACTGATGGCAGTGACAGTGAATAAATCTGTCTGTGTATGCTATGCTCATGCTGTTCTTGCTGCTCTAGGGCCTCAAGAATGATTTAGCGAGCTTTGTGCATCTATTACAGCCAGTCGTGAAAATCCCTGACCTTCTGTGTGTAAGGTCTCTGGAGCATTTCCAATAGGTTTGTCTCTCAATTCAAACACATTTTCTGGTTGAAAGGTTCATGAATTGAAGTGAGAGTGTGAGCAATGGCAGGAGGACAGTTCGATGTTTGGTAAAGAAAAGAGTGAAATACCAGGTTTTATTTACATTTATATTTACTTCCTGACTAAATGTGCACCCTCTTATCAACAAGTAAACATATAAAAAGAGGTTATGGAGCAAAAACTGTAACCCTGCTTCATTTTAACAGAATTTCCACAGTAATGGAGGCAGAGGAGAACTAATATAATTACAGCTACACATCAGTATATATTTGTAGAAGTCTGATGGTAGAGTATTGCTTTGTTCTGTGCCATACCAGCAGCATTACTGATCTATTTAATGGTCAATTTTTATTTTAGTTCTGTTGATTTAAAATCAGAAGCCCTGTCCCAGTAAATATGAAGGCAGGATTCAGGTGATCATTGTAAAATAATCAGAAATGAAACAAAAAAGCATTCAGTTTTCTAAAAAAACAAACCTGTACAATGGTGAAGTAACATCTGTGACTGCAGTAATGGAAATGTTCCTATCAGAAGGACCTCGGAGCCAAATGTAATAGTTTCCTCTCGTGTTCCCCTGAGAAACAGTGTCATTTGAGGAACATTAATTTCAGTGCACCTGCACCAGCTGAATGACTTCAGGGCCAGAGTGACTCACTGAAAAACAGCATGCTAGATGCAGGTGACTGTTTTGCTAACAATATATGACCCCTGTGTAAAATCTACACAGAAAACACAACATTTCCTCTGTCAGGTGGAATCTGATTTTTGTATTTTAACTAATTATACTGGAATTGAGAAGGTCATCAGTGGTTTAAACATGAAAATAAATTAATAGCCTCTTAAAAGAAAGCATGTGTCTGAATGAGATTTTCTTTTGACAGCAACAATACACAGAACAGAAAAATAATCTTTTCAGTCATAAGCATTATTTAAATGAAAAAGTTGCCTTTATTTGTAGCTCTGGGCATCTATGCCCCCCCAAAAATGGAATATAGCAAAACATGGTCCAATCCTTGATTTCAGTCAGAAAGTAAACAAAAGTAGGCCACTCATTTCTACTGACCATCATTCATTTAAGGTGGCTTACAACACAGAGTATAGCAGACATTTTACATTTTTATGATTCGGTTAAAAAAGGAGAACCATGTAAAATGGTCTCAAATATGCAGTTAAGCGCTTCATACACTACGTGATATTTAGCTGAAAGGCTAAAGCTAAAGCTAACAGGTCACAGGCAGCAATGGCTTTGTTCTTTTATCATTTTTTCTATCTTTTTGTGAAATCTTGAGCTTGACAGACCTGTGAAACCTTTACTGTTACTAAGCTATGCTAAACGACAACTGTTCAGGGACGAGTATAGTGAATTGTCAGTTTTTTAATTTAATTAATTTGTACATTTCTGGTGTTTTAGCATCTATTAAATGGCCACTAAAAGCAGAGTACATATCCTAACATATAAAACATAACTCTGGGTTTCAGCAAATACTATGGACAGTAGGCCTATTATAGATCAGAGCTCCTGGACTAAACTCACCAGGGGGTTTCAACATTGATCAGTATCAACAAGCGAATATCAAGTAAGTGGTCTCTCTCTAGACAGTCAATAGCACAAATCGACTGTAGAAAGTCCTGGGGGAATAAGGACTGCAGTAACAATAGCCCATTACTTCACTTTACAGTGCAGCGACTCACTCTTTTTGTCTTGTTTAGCTGTAGTTCAGTGTTTTCTCACAGGTCTTAAGGAACCTTTCTGATGCCATACTGTTTATTTATTATTGTAATCCAGCAAAAAACTGCATCTGCCAATAATTTTACTTTCATTAGTGTCAGACATAGTATGATTAATTGCAGATGTTGCCATCAGGTACATTATATTTTTGAACATGATTCTCCAACAGTATGGCATCCTTTGCACTGTATTAACCTGTAAAAACCCTTAAATCTAACACTTTATAAGTCAAATACTCTGACCCAAGTCTTATCTAGTCAAACATTAAAGGGAAATTCATGTGTTTGCATATTTTACCCCATTTGCTACAAACTGTACTATTACATTTTATACCAAACGACTCTTGGCTTCCAGGCATCTACTGGTTGCACTTAATTATAGTTCAATATGAAAAACAATTTGCATAAAAACTTCAAACATGTGATTCGTCCCAGTGGACACTCGGTTACAATCAGCTCCACCTTGTTGCTATATTCAAGAGCTTGTAGAAAACCCCAACATTTTAAATTTAAGTCTGCTACTGAGAAATGTTCCATTTATATATAGATATGTAGATAAAGGCAAGCAATAAGAACACATGTGCCACATGGTAATAGCTTCGGTTTGATGAAAAAAAATTCATTAAAAAAAAGTGTTATATGACTCTTAAGTCTCAGATATGACTTAGTTATTCCTCAGCTTTTGAAGACTTGACAGGAAAGTGCTTTCAGGACAATTCCTGCTTCCAACTGCTTTATGATGGGAAGACAAAATGAACGCTGTGGTGGTTACCTATGACACACAAGTTTGTCCAAGCTGATGTTAATATTTTACACAAACTGAAACCATCGAACATGTGGAAGGTAGGAAACCAGGCTAAAAATGTAATGCTTTGGAAAACTGCTTGGAGTTAAGATAAATATAGAGGATGAGACAGACAGTTAAAGAACTAAAAGATGCAAAGCATTATCTGTTATTTTAACCAGGCCCTCAGACATGTCTGTTGCATCACCTGTGGCTAATCTAATGTGTCGGGCTCAGCGTCCATGCAGGTCTCCCAGGGGTTGCGTGGCATGTGGGGCATAGAGATGAGAAGCAGGGCGACTCCGCTGAGGATGAGCAGGGTGAAGGAGGCACAGGCGCAGGTAAACGACCAGGAGTAGTAGTATTCAATCCAGATGGTTTCATCACTGTCAATCATGCGCTTGACAGACTGGCGCATTACCTCGACGGAAATGATGATGCACAGACCTGGGTGCCAAAACGGAGAAAATGGGTTGGAAAAAGCACCTGCTTACCTGCATTCATGAAAATTGCTCTGTCAAAACAGTTTAATCAAATGCTGTTACAGTCCCACAGCTACACCGCAAGATTTTCAGCTTTATTTTAACTATGAGTCTGACACCCATCAAAGTTTTAACACATTGTGAAATGTCAGCCCAGAGCTTTGTCAACTCTATTAGCTCCTACCACCTCTATAAACCTGTCAGTGAAAAATCAGCTTTGTCAACTCTCCCAAATTAGCTGCTTAATATTCATCAGCAAAAGAAAAGGACTGACATGCCTCATTTCAAGACTACCAAAGTACCAGACAAAGCCTTATCCGTGATTCATATTATCTGCCATATCTGACCTGCAAAGGCGAAGAACATCCCAGCAGGCCGGAGCAGGTAGTCCCGCCCCTTTCCAAAAGAGAAAATGACGCAAAAGGTGCCCAGGATCATGAAGAACAGACTGAATATGGTGATGGCTGCTGCTGAGATGTTGTACTCTGGGGAAAGAGGAGAAAGAGAGAAGAGAAAGGCGGTAAGATGGAAAAGACGATGTAAAAAGAAGTGAGGAGGCAAGAGTGAGTGCGAAAGTGAAGAGAAGTGATAGAACGAGCAGAGACAGCAACAAGAGTGAGTAGGTGCAGAAGAGGAGGTTGCAGTTATCATTTACATAATAATTGTTTCAATATTGCTCTCAGGCAAGATATGACACATATAATTAGCCTTTAAATTAGCCGTACTTTAAAACAAGTCATTTATCCAAACTGGCAATAATTCCATTTGCATGACAGATAAGCTGCTTCAGGCTTATAACAAGGTGATTAGAGCATGTCTCTCTTCCCGCCCGGCTCCCCTCCTGTCTGTTTGTCAGGGAAAGATAATCTCGTCTTTCCTTCTCAGTAACACTCCAACTGTGATAGAAATGATCCTCGGAGCATCCTATTCCATTTCAGCACCCCGACTGTGGAGCAACACCAACTGTAAAATAACCTTACACTCCGTCTCTCCAGTGGAGGCTCATTCTCTGTCTGTTTGAGGACTGTTGGTCTGGGAGGGTATACATGTGTGTGAAAGCGTCTCAGAGCTTTTAAGCTTTTCACGTGTTTAAGCTGAAACCTGTTCACTTTGTCATTATGTTATCAACGGATTTGCAGACTGTTCAGATTTATTTTTTGCATTTTATTCTGTGTACAGTAATAGTTTATTTTGCGTATCATTCTAAAATTTCATATAATGTATCATCAGTATGTGTCTTCAATGGTTTTACCATGGCATAACTGTATGCATGACAGTGCTCTATAATCGCCTGTCTTTATGAGCTTAGCTGTTTGCTCCTTCATGTGTCTGTCAGAAGCTGAAAAGGTTAGAAACAGAGATGTTAATGTTATAATAACAATCTGCTAAAACAGGGAGGATGAGAAGTAACGTGTAACATGTTCAAGTGTTTTCCCATAATTCATGTAATCCAGATGGAAATAGCATTTTCTACAAAACATAGGAAAATGAAACCTGTAAGAAATGTAAGAAAGGACAGGGTCAGGATCTTATCAGACAGAAATAGCATTTTCTACAAAACATAGCTGTGTAAGAAAGGACAGGGTCAGGATCTTATATGTGACATACAGTATATGCATCTCTTCACATGTGCTTAGATTTGTATAATGTGGGCACAGCGTGTGATGTGTCTATCTTTCCTTTTGCTTTACTACAAATGGTTTCTCTTATGCAAACAAGCTAGGATCTATTCTAACATGCATTCTGGGTGGCAATAAGGAGGCACTCACCTTTCTGGGTCTTGACTTCAAAAACTTCAGCTTCTTCCCCCGATGTAAAGTGTTTGAAGTAGGAGCAGTTTTTTGCTGCAGAGTAATAAAGTGAAAGAGAGGCGGGTGAGAGAGAGGGGGCAAAAGAAGGAGATAAAAACAGGAGGGGTTGTTTCTGTAGCCAGAGCAAATGTTAACTCTCTCAATGGTTTACATACACATACAGCATATTAGTGATTCTGGCTTAGTGTGTTTCTGTTAGCCTAAATAATAGTTTTTCATGCATTACTTCACAAAATTGAACCTTCAAAAAGGAATTCAGAATTCATCAATATAGTGGCTCCATGTTTGTGTAATGTCCCACTGCAGGTGTTCATGGCTCATAGACACAACGCCAGGCTGGATATATGCAAACCCAGCAGCTTCAACCTGTGCACCTTTAGCCAAAAGACATGTTTTTGTACTAACTATGTCAGAAAATTACATATAGCATGTCCACATAATCTCGGATAAAGCGGACAAAGATGAATGGATGGATGTCCACATCATCCTCATTTCTAAATTGGTAAAGAATCAGTGTGCACAACAGTTGCAGCTCCTCTTTGTCGGTTTGATCAGATGTAAAGTCAATTAAACACTGCCACCAAATCACCGAGCGATTCTGTCCTGCGACTAAAATAAAATGTCTTAAATGCTTCACTATCTTTCACTGCTTATTTCTCAGAAATCAGTTTACATCCACTTCAGCACAGGAATGATACATGTCTGCTCTTTGCTTGCCCAGACTCTAGTCCTTTGACCACAGTCTTCAATATAGCCACACGGAGAAGAACGATTCTCTGGCGCAGTCATTTTCCATACATCCATCTATCTCTTTGCTGTCTCTAAGGGCACCTGGGCTGAGAGGGAGGGGTGGGGGTGTAAAGGCCAAGTGAGCGACTCCTCTTTCTTCCACTGACCATCCTTTCTCACTAAGCTTAAACCCATAAAGCAGACAGGTGCTTCCTCTGTCTACACGGTGCACAATGTTTGTGTATTACATCTGTGCGTGTGGTTACACATACTATGTGTATGTATGTGTTTACCATGCAACAGAGGAGGAGATTGTTACTGAGAATGAGAAAAAAGTCACTAAAAAGGTAACCTAGCAACAGGCTGGTGAAGGTCTTGGCTAGTCCTATCAATTTACCCATGTAAAGGCATATCGAGAGGAGTGTGTGCATGCATACGTGTGTGTGAATGTAAATGTGTGTAATACTATGCGAGCATGGGTGTGTGTGTTTTGAGGGATGAACAGGCTGGTGATAGGTATAACTGGAGGTGGGGTTACAGAGCAGCTGCGCTCTGAAAATATATTATTTTCATTAGTTTTTTCCCATTAGGTGTTTTTACCTCTGAGGCTAATCTAATTTAAGATATTATGTGTTTGAACGTAGCTGTAAGATTTACTTCATTTTCTAAGAAGGCTATCCGCTCACCACACAAAGGCAGAAAGTACTTTGATATATACTGAAGAGGATTTAATAGACAGAGCCACTTTTGATTTGCTGGAACCTACTTAAGGATAATGTAGAAAGTGATGAAAGAAAACAAGACTTTTCATTGATTGATTGATTTATTTTTTGTAGTTAATAATTGACTAGTTGCTTGACAACTTGCTGTTCCTATGCTGGGCAGGCTTTCCATTCTACCATGAAACTTATGCAACAGTGACAAAATGGTCGTTTTTTACTCAAAATTTGCACTAAATTTTAAACAAAGGTTCTTCTGTTTGACAAAGAAGAAAACAAAAGCAGCATTTACAAGTGACAACTGTGCCTTTTACATGATACCTTTTGTTAGTAAGTTTCATCAGCTGTAGCTAACTGCTTAACCTTGTGCTAACACTAAAACGTCATAGGTTGGTATAAAATTAGTTATCCCTATTATTTTATTTTAGCTGTAATAAACCTTGGATGGCTTGAAAGTTTACTAAAGAAAAACAAAGAGACAGACATAGCGTCACAGTTTCAGCCTGGGCCCTGTTTCCACTGCACCTTTGCTCTGTTGCTCCCTGCTGCGCCCTCACTCACCTGCTTTTCATCAGTGTAATTATCTCCCAGCACACTACAAGACAGCAGTCAGCCAGATTGCCAGATTCTCACATTGTTCTTTGATAATGACTATCCAGCATTTCTCTTTGTGTTTGTTGCCTCTGCCTGCCCTTCTCTGAACTGTTGTCCTATGGTGCTTGGACTCGGGTTTGTTCCTAGAACTGGTCGGTTGTCTGCCCCCGTCTACTCTGTCAGCGTGCCTTAGTTCTCACTGGTGTCTGTTTTGTCCCTGACCACGAGTGAGAACTGGTGTTCTGTTGAGGAAATCTTCTGAATTACTTACCTCATGACACTTGCACCTGCAAAGGCTATTGACGTCCCCTGATTGTTGTTTGAAGAAGTCAATTCTGCTTTACTGACCTCTGAGTCTGAGAAGTTACCTTAACTTACCTGTGAACCTAATGTTGCATTTCTGTAGTTTGTTTTCTTGTGTTTTTGGCTCTTGTTTGGTTTTTGACACCAGTCTCCACCTTCTTTATACAGTACATGGACTATACTCTTATTATAACTCCATGCTCACTGTTGAGGTATGTGGTAAAATCCATAGCTTGATGTCTGCTGTTCCTATGGTTACCAGGCCACGACTGTGGTAGATTTAATGAACGGTAAGTTAAGCTTGTTTTAATGATTTTGCTAAATGTAGTCCAGCAATTTCTACATCATCTTTGGCAGAATCAAAACTGTTTGTGTGTTAGTTTAACGTGTTCAAAATTTGCCAAATGCTCAAAATGTAGGCCCTCGCTCTTTTACAAAGGACAACAAATCGTCTTTGCTCAGTATTTATCTGGGTGCTAGGGAGGAACAGATGCACAGGTGTGAATCATTTGAATTTTTTTGTCACTGCCACGCTTGGCCAAAAACTCACAAAACTAACTATTGCTGGCAAGTTCTGTCTTTCCAATACAGTATTACACTGGTGGAGTTTTCTTGTTAAAAGCATTTTTTTGCTTTTACCGATATCAATACAGCAGAAACACACTGCCCAAAAAAGGTTTAAAACAAATCAAATCTGTATCATAACCCTAAATGGTGAGCATTCAGTGTGGAGGCGGACATCTGGGTGCGTATCATTGACCTTGCAGTCTGGCTAATGATGAGATTTAGTTCTGGGGGGACAAATGATTAAAACGAGGTGTCGCCTGTCATTTTAGTTTCACCTCTTACCGTTAAACTCTCTGTCTTTGATATGCAGCTTCTCCTTTGCCCTTTACTTCTCTCCCTTCCTGCTCTTTCCACCTGTCATCTAAGCTTTCATTCTTCTTTCTGTTTCTTGTAGCTTTTCTTTTTCCTTTCTCTGTATTCGTTTCTCCTTCCATGCACTGTCCTTTTATCCATCAAAGTTTTGAGGACACATGAACTAGCACCGAAAACAAACTGAATTATTATGCTGTCCTAAGTGCAGTCACAACTTCATGGACAGTCCACATTGTGCACTGAAAATAACTTCTTTTGTTATAGAAGGTATTTTTTAAGCGATGGAAGGGGGGCTGTTCGTTTTCTAAGCCACACAAAATGACCGGCTAATTCTGGGTCAATGTGAATAGGATGGGTGGTGGTGGTGGTGGCATTTGAATGGCTATTTCAATAGGAGCTCTGATAAGTGAAACACAACAGCACAGGAGAGTCCTCACAGCCCTCGTGATCCTGTACATGTGTTTACAGTATATGTACTGTATGTTTGTGGCCTGACAGTTATTGCTCAATTCAAAACACAAAAAGTCTGAATGTCATTATCGCAGTCATCGCAGCATCACACTCTATCTCTGAATGTTTTTCATTTTATGCATTGCAGATTCACATAATGGAAGGGATTCATTCATATTCTGAGCCTTTAACTTGTTTTCTGGATGGCAAATCAATGACTTGCCTCCATAGTTTTGTTTCTGCACTAAAAGCAGGAACTTGGCAGACTAGAGACAAAAGTGACTGAATGAAAATAGTGGCTCAAGGTGACACAAGTGCTTTTGAGGGTATGAATTGGGGTCACCAGCAGTGTGCCACTGAAAGAAGCAGAGGAGGGAGGCATTTTATTTAAAGGTGTACATACTCTGGGGCTAACCTCTTTCCACCATAGAGCTGGGAAATGTGTTGGCTGACCACTTGGAAACAATAAAACATCTCAGATAATAAAAGCTGTTCCCCCTTACTTCATTGCACACATACATGTAGGAAGTTACACATGCACAGCACACAAATACACCATTTCTGCTCTTTATTTCCCAGCCAAGCAGCATGATGTGATCCCGGTTTGTCTGATTTTTACAGCACTCAAGCTGTCATGTGTCATTTGCGGGAAGCTAATTTCAAAAGTCATTTGGGTTCATCTCTGTTGCCGTTGTTATGCAACCCTTTCACAAAATCAGTGTAATTGTGACTATATGAAAAAGTGTTTGTGTATGTGCCTCTTGACAACTAACTCCCTCTCTGTTTGGGAAAATGCAAATGCATGTTATTAAGTCCAATCACCACAGCTTGCTTGGGTGTACTGTTCATCAAGGATGTAATCTGTTATAGTGCACTCTCGAGCGCTCAACACTCGACCTGCAGCACACAATAAAGTGAGAAGCAGAAAAGTAGCTCTGCTGTAGCAATGTTAGCCGTTCAGCCACTCCATTAGGCTCTAAACTCACTGGACACTTACTTATCTGAAAGCTGTACTAGAGCTCTGTTTCCCTCCAGAGCCTCACAGTCTTATGCACCTTACATTTTACTAGTAAGGATAGATGCTGAGTGTGTTTCGCAACACCTCCTTGTTGCCAATTGAGCCGAAGTGATCTAAATATGTGTTCAGAACCAATGGCATATAATTATTGTACATATTGGAAATAGTCAAAATTACTCCATGATCCTTGTCATGAGAGGTTATTGTTGTTACCTGGCTGATTAAGTGCAAATACTGGCTTCTTTCCAAAAAAACACACATAGAAGTGTGCAGTCCAGTCAAGCCTTCAGTACTTCAGTCACTCTATCAAGAAAGAAGCAAACCTCTGAGGTGAGACAGTGGCTGTATTTCTCTCTTGTTCTCCCTTTTATCAAACTACACTAACCTGGCAGACTGACCAGTAGAGAAGGGACCTGTCATTAAGAGAAAAAACCTTTTAGACACCTTTCCTTGGCCAATGGAGGACTGACAAGTCTGAATTTAGCCTTTTTCCCCACAAGCCTTGGCTTTGACTGCAGAAAATCACTTAAATCTGCCTTCAGAAAGTACTAGCATTTCACACAATGCCATCCCCACAGAGACAGCGTAGAGGCATTGTGACCCATAGCCACACTCACTGATCCATCTGTAACAACACCAGGACCACAAATGGGTATAACCGGAAATATTGGGCCTGGCATGGGAGCAAGCAGTGACGTGCCAAATCCCTAGACATTTACAGGTGACGTCAGAGAATGGCTTGTTTCTCTCATAAACCAAACATAGAAACACCTCTGTGGTTGTGACAATGTAGACAAGGGGGGTCTCTGACAAAACGGTGGGCATTTCTTACCACACAGTTTGACAGATGGCAGCAGGGTGGAGCCCTGTGCACTGAGCACCTTTGCTGCACAGAAAGGCGAGATGTCGACAGGTTTATTCTGTCAGATGGCTCCTCTCTAGTTGGTCAGTCATCTCTATTTCAGGTTGTGTTGAGTATCAGTGAAGCAGTTGGGATTCTGCACAATGTTTTACAACTGCTGTCAGACTGTGGAAGTAGAAACCAGCTCATTCATCATATCGGAGTTGTGAGTCTGTCAGCTACAGTATCCATTTCCTTCATTCTACAGACGACTGACTTGTCCATGAGGGGAAAAAATCTAGCTAGTTCATCTACTTGTCTAAAAAAACCCAGAACAGATAGTTCTATGCGATGTTATACCAAGAATGTGTTCTGGAGGCCCTCGATGGGCCCTCATCACATTTATGTGGCAGGCAGCTGTCACACCTCTGCTCTGTCTACCTCGTTGTCTACTGGGGTGCTTTTTCTGGTTTCACAACATGCAATACATAACATTTAGCACATTTATCACTTCACCTCAGGGAAAAGCCACCCCTCAAATTGGACACTGTACGAGTATAGTGCCGACTTCTACTTTCATCCCAATCCCGTTCATTCCTCATGAGCCTCCCGGGTGAACTCTAACTCATGAGCTGGAGCAGGAAGCCACACTTCATTAAGGCCTGTACTGATTCTCAGGTGCTGAAGTTGGAGGCTAAGTCAGTGACAGAGTCAGAGTGAAATCTCTCTGTTAAGCTGCAAGGCAAGCACACACAGCCAGAGGCCAGCGAGACTCTGTTTACCCCAAGGCTGGCTCTGTTCAAAGAGAGACTGTAATTACAGGTACCTGGCTATTTTAGAGAGGTAGACTTTGAAAAGCAAGGCAAAATGCTTTTGACTGAGCGGAATCATTTACAGTGTTAAAAACTGCTCTCTAGACAGTCATACTTCTGGTTTGATCAAAGCCAGCATCAGATCTGCTTTGACACTGTGAATCATACTGAACATGATATGTAGATGTTAAATAGCATCTTATGATTTTACATTTCAGTACAGAAAGAGTCAAACAGGATGCTGACACATGTAACACTTCCTGTTGTGTGTTGAGAGATCAGCTAATAAAAGATGCCAGAAAAATGAGAGAAATGGGAGTTTAGCTTATGTCTTGTCTGCCATGTGCCCAAAGAGAACCGATTCATGTTTCTGTCATGTTAAATCAGTTATAGCTGCAGAGTCTTCCATTACGCACTTGACTTCGGCTGTTTGAGTGTGCTTAATTAACAGTCTGTCCTGAGACTTCCTCTGCCGAAGATAATGATGGTTCAGTGAGAAGCTGGACACAGAACTGTGACACATTCAGTCCAAACAAGCAATCACATGTGTGCTTGTCTGTGTGTGTGTGCACGCCAGCATACAAGCTGACATGTGCTTTTGTGTGTGAGAAGGGAGAAAACAGAAGAAGAGACGGACGCAGATGGAAAAGTGAGAGAGCACAAGTAGAAAACAAAGCTGACCAAAGTTGCTGCTGACACTGATACTTCAGCTTCAGACTCCAGCCCCTTCTTTCAGTTCTCTACTTCTACTAAGATATTTTTTTAAAATGATTTTCAGCATATGAATGATTTTTAGTTTTATGTCAAAGCAGCCATATTTAAATATGTGTTGTCCCAAGATTTATGGAAAAATGAAATGCAGTTTACCTTGACTGTTTCTGGTACATGTACAAAGAATAATGAAAATTTTGATGTTAAGTTCAGATTTAAAACCCACATACAATATTTCCAAGTCAAGGCTTAGTTCTACTGTAACTGTGATACAAGTTGGTAGATGATAGCAGACAAACTGCTCTGACTTGCATGTGCGTACAGATTCATACTGTAATGCAGAACTGGAGCACAACTAATTTTTAAAGGTTTCGATTCGCTTTCTACCGACAGAAAAAGAAGTCTAAATCTGGCACAAGAAAAATTTCCCACTCTAACTTTATATCCAGGATTATTTCAAGTAACAGAGGCTGTCAGTGCAAATGATAACACATAGAAATCCTTAGCCCGCACATTTTACATCTAATTCAGAATATATTAAGAGTAAATATGATGTTTGTCACCTTGACATGATCCTTAACTCAAAGTACAATAATAGATTATCAGGCAGCAGGTTTTCATTCACCAGCAGTAAGATTAAGGAGCTCCATACCTCCAGGTAAGCTGATGGGGCCACAGCCTTTGCCCTGGGGGTCCGCCTCCACGATAAAGATGCTTTTCTTGCAAAGCCTCCAGAGGCCAAAGTGGGCCGCCTCACAGGTGGCGTTGAGTTTCTCCACCCGTGGGCTGAGCACGGCCCAGTGGTCAGTCACCACCGCTGCCAGCATCGACGACATGCCCACCATGATCACCACAGATGTGATTTTCACCTTGGTTGCCTGCTCCTCAAACATGTTACTGCTTGATGTGTGTGTGTGTGTGTGTGTGTGTGTGAGTGCCTATGTTTGCACGTGCGTGTGACACAAGTAACAAGTGCACGAGTGTGTGATTGTAAAGCCTGTGAACGACGGTCAAGGTCGTCGTTGTCTTGTTTGTCTTCAGGCCCTGACGTTGGCGCTGGATCCGGAGGTTCCCTCGTCTTGTCTACAGCTTCACCACACCTCTGACGTCCTCTCTTCTTTCCTGCTCTCCTGTCCACGGCTCTTTCTTTCTCTTTCTCTGCCTTGTGCCTGGTGATTGGTAAAAAGGGGCCAGATAACAGTGCCCTAGTTTCTACCTCTCTCCACTCTTCCTCGCCCTCCCTAGCTGCCTCTGGTGAGCTGAACCTCGAGTTGAAGATGTACTGGGAAGTGCTAACTCCTATTACAGCTATTACAGCTATTACTTGACCATTCGCAAGGGTCGAATCAAGACCAGACTTTCATTTAGTTTAGACACAGACTGAAATTTTCAGTGATTCACTTCAAACATAAACAGTCTAGTGATAACATCTGGAATGTTTTGACAATCCTAGCTGATATTTCATTGCCATGCCAATACTGATGTTATCAATCCATCGTTTATCTGGAACATTCTGTGCCACATCTCTTTCATATCTCCTTTCTTGCTCCATTGTCTTAGGCTCTGTGTGCCAGGGGAGATTTCCTTTATTAGTTGTAATTTGAATGAGCTGATCTACTTTCTCAGCCAATCAGCAGTCAAGGTTTGAGACAAGGGTCCCACCTGATGCCAGCAGCTGATCCAGATTGAGATATGAGGCTTCAATACAAAACCACTGAAAGATATATTTGCAAAATATTCAGTTTATACAGCTTAAATATGTCTTACTAGGTAGCAAAATACAATTTTCCCTTAAGAACTTTATACATGTTTGGCTTAATGAATCAGATTTATGAATGTTCCTGAATATATATTATAGTAAAAGACTTGTGAAACTCTACAAGCAGCTGTCATAGTGAATGCTGCACATGCTGTTTTGTTTTTTATTTTATAAACCAACAATCTTATCTCTGAATATATATTGAGATAATACAACAATAAGAATGCCTTTGATGACTTCACTAAAAAAAAGGGCATCACACAGTTCGAGGAGGAAGAAACTATAAAAACGTGATGCAGCTCTGAGGCAAAATCAGCCCGTTCCTTATGAAATACTCGAGTAAATGGACATGCTTTTTATAAATTGCCGTGCCCCACTTGAGACAGGACTCTGGCCCATTTTCAGCCTTGACAACGCTCACACATGCTCTGAGGTTTTTAACACATGAAATGGCAAGACATTTAAAGAAAACCGAGTGGAAAAAGGGGAAAGTGTTTTAAGAGAAAGCAAGACAATGGACTTACGTGTGTCTGTTTGAGTAATAGTATAAAACGGCATGCCAGTTACACAAAACAGGCAGTCATGTTTGTGTGTGTAAAAAAGGGAGAGTTGGACAGAAACACCACGGCAAAGATGATATGTCACACTTCTTAGAAAACAAATGTACCGTGGGAGAACCAAAGTGCTTCCTGTGAACGCCATCAGTACCTAGCTGAGCCAGAAAAATGATCGTCAAAGAATGATCATCTCACTCACTAGCGTAAAAAACAGAAACCCACAGTGGGGATTGATAGGAGATGAGAGACATTTGTATTCATTATCACATTCCATGTGGATGCATTTGCAGCAAAACCGCTTTTGTTCCCAGAGGACGAGTCACCTGCTGAGGCTGAGAGAGGGACCGCTTGTCTCTGAGTGTATAATAATAGCATCGTTTGGTGAAGCCTGTCTTACTGAGTGACCCTCTGACCTGTTTCATTTGCTCATGGTTCTCTGGTGACTGTCGAGGGACCAAACACCTCACAGCTGCAGAGTTTCCAGGCAACAGCCAGCAGTGTAGACGACAGTGGCAACACCTCCTTGTGGTTCCTAGAGTCCACAGAAGCAGAGCCTTTAGCTATCAAGCTCCTCTCCTATGGAACCAACTCCCAGTCTCAGTTCGGGAGGCGGACACCCTCTCTACCTTTAAGATTAGACTTAAGATGTTCCTTTTTGATAAAGCTTATAGTTAGGGCTGGATCAGGTGACCCTGAGCCTTCCCTTAGTTATGCTGCTATAGGCCTAGGCTGCTGGGGGGCCCCATGATGCTCTGAGTTTCTCCTCTCCTTTCCTCTCTCTCTATGCTTCTATATGCCACCATTACCCATCACTAACTTTGTATCTCCTCTCTCCCGTAGTGTGTCCTCTCTCTCTCTAGAAGGCCGCCCACCAAGAGCCGGGGTCTGTCGGAGGTTTCTTTCGTTAAAGGGAGTTTTTCCTCCCCACTGTCGCCAAGTGCTTGATCAAGGGGGATTTGTTGGGTTTTCCCTATGTAATAATATTGATAACAGTAAGGTCTAGACCTTACTTTGTAAAGTGTCCTGAGATGACTTTTGTTGTGATTTGACGCTATACAAATAAAATTTGATTCGGATTTGAATTTGACCTCATCTATGATACAAGAGTGTCGTGCTGGAGGGATTGCCTCATGTCAACAGAGCAGGGAGGACAAACACTGACAACGCATGACCAGAAGGCATGAGACTCATTGCCTCTCACTGGATTGTTAACATTATCAGAAATATCAGTGTTACAACCATGACAAAAACATAAAAAATACTTCTGCTGAAATCAGGATTGACATGCCCAACCTCATCAGTGATTAACTTCAAATATGGGTGCCAGCTTCCCTGTTAGAATTCTTATTTCAGGATGAAAAACAACCTTAATTGGTGGCTAATTTTACCCATAGCAGAATAGATTGCATAGCCTTCAGAGGGACCCAACAGTATTCATTTGCTAATGACAGGCAACATAACTCAAGCTAAATTGGATTACCCATGCCTTGAGGCCACCTCTATGAGGGTCATGTAATATTCTTCACTAACACAACGGGATCTGTTATATTCTCACTCATTTGACCTGTTCTAACAAAAACTGTCAATAAAAGAAGCAGAGATTAGGTGACGTGAGGCAGCAAGATGTGAGTTAATAAGCACAGATTGAAGAAAAATTAAATTAGGTGGAAGTTACCAGGGCTGATGTAGCTACTGTACTGTAGCATCAGCCACTACTAGCAAAAGATCATATGCCAAGGTGTGATTCATCTTTTAGCAAAGGAAATCTCACCAGCAACTGTATAATGGATAACTATCTGATTGATGGTTCTACTTTAATCAGGAATGAAAACTGCAATACAGAAAATAATCTGCATTTCTGTGCAGGTCTGTGGCTTCATAAGGCCCAGTACACAAACCTCTGACAAGCTGAACCGAATGAAAAGGTGTCATTCTGCCTTGAGAGGTAAAAACACTTTGACCTAGCAAAAGACTTTAACCTCTGCTGGGTATCCTTATTTCTCTGCCCATCATCTCCTCCTTTCTGCAGCTGTTACATTTTTAGAAAGGTTCACTGTGCCCACTTATTGAATCAGCTGGGTGATTGCTGATATTTAAAAATGGTTAGGTGGCATCTCTCTGAACAGGAGTGATGGCTTTTTAACATTTTGATCTAAGAGTGCTGCCATTAGTGTGACTCTGACTGATTGATTTCATGACCAAATAATGCAGAGACTCTGAGGCTGAAGTGTCTCATAGTTCATTTGAAGATGACAGTAATCCATTCTTAGGTCGTTGAATTGTAGAGGCATTCAGGACACACAGAAAGTCAGACACAAAAACCTGATTTAAGCACTGCAGTCATACATTTCAATGGAAAAACAAAAGCTCCACATCAGTCACTATAGGAACAAGTTAGCTTGTTGTAAGAATCAACACTAAACATCATAATGTCGATTTAGTTTATTTCTCTATGTACAGTAGAGGTTTGGTTGTAACAAAAAAAGGAAAATCAGATATTAAAAACCTTTTTGAATGGAACAATAAAAGCAGGAAGTAAAGTATATTATAAATAAAGCAAAGGCACTGTACTATCCAATATCAAAAAATGAAAACACCCTAATAGTGAAATAAATGCAGTAAGTCTGTACTTGCAACACACTGGATCTAGGGTAAGGTGTTCATTTTTTGTGTATAATACAACAAGTGCCTCAGTTTCTTTCCCTGTAATTATTATTTATTATTACACACCTCCTTATACTCCACTTAGCATCTTCCCTTCTGTTCTCAAATTTACAATAAAATTGAAAATGTGCTTATCAATAGTAAGCCATAAATAATATATCAGCACATTCAGTAAAGTACAGCTGCGACATACACACAATAGAAAAAAACTGTACTTCACCTTAAACACAACAGAATATTTAATACTTTGATTTACTTTATTGACTGATAACACAAAACCCAAGTGTGTTTACCTGAATAAAAAATGGTAAATTGAATTCTACGACCAATGTCATTGCCAGTAAAATAATGCTTTAAATAATGTTTCACATTTTTGCTTATTCAGTGTTTTTGTTTCGTTTTTTTAATTGTACTTTTATATACAAGTTTACAGCTTTACATTTGGATTTTTTTCTGACACTGTAATATAAAAGTGTAAGCTCTCTACTCAGAATGGATTATATAAATGGCTTTTTTAGTTAGCTTTTTTTTTAAATACACTAGTTTAGGTATCTCTAATGGAATATCAAACACACTAAATACAATCAAACACTACACTGTGGTTGAGTAAGCCCACTTGCCAAACCAGAGGCAGCTAAATAGCCCTAAGACTGATGAAAACCCACCCCAGCTGGTTCTTGGAGCAAGCAAACACTCATAGTAGCCTCTAAATACAGTCATGGTATCTTGTATCACAGGTTCATTTTCTAGCACTACCACAAAACAAGGAGAAGACTTCAAAAGTTAAACCTGCCACAAAAACCCAGTATTTCCTGAGAAAACCTAAAAAACAAACAAACAAAAAGCAAAGATGGACATGCAGGACGACAGTGCAGCCCCCGTTATTAAAACCAAATCCTTTAGGGAGGCGGTTGCAGACAGCTCCCTTTGTTTTTGTCCGGGGCCTCTGTTTGACATGAGGAGGGGGGGCAGGCAGACCGACTAGCAGTCCTGACCTGCGCTGTCTTCACAGTTCTGGGCACAGCCTTCTCGTCAGCTGCTCTTCTCTGCTGACAGGCACATAATGTACACAATGTCACATCCATCAGGGGGTGTGATGGAAGAAAGGCAGGCTGATATGGAAGTGAATAAAAAAAAGGGGTCACTGAACAGAGGTGTTCCACTGACAAGATGAAATTTCATTCCTCTGAAAAATGTCAGAGAAGAATAGGATTACAGAAGGGGCAGTGAGGGAGACAAAACCATTCATACAGGTTGGAGAGCAATCAAATAAAATACTAAATATTCAATTCATACAACTTAGCAAGTCACTTGTTTTGCAAAAACACTGACTCCCAAAACCATGTTAAAATATTCTAATCAGAGTTTCTTTAAAAGGATTTATATCATTCCAAAGAGAGAGTCTGCCTCTGTCCTCTCTTTCAAACCTGCAATTAATTAGATTATAAGGCAAGACCTAACAAACTTTGGAGAGAGGTCCACATTCTGACTTCACACACAAATGGAACACTGTCATGTTGAAGAGCACATTTCATGTAGCACCTTGTTAAATAATTTACAGGTAGAATCCTGCTGATTGGCACGCGTAAGTGCTTCACCCTCAAGTTTACCCAAAATGTGCAGGGACCATCACGCAAACAAGGGCTGTGGTCCACACATCGCTCGTTTAAGCATTTTGACACAGTTGAAAGATAACACTAATTTTGCATTGGCTACAGCACAGACAATGGTAACTCTATCCTGCTTTGATGGTCTCTAAAAGCAGATAAATAAACTCTCTTAATTGGCTCATCTTTCCAGCTGACTGTACTTTCATCTCCCTCTGGTCCTTTCAACAAAGGACAGTCTCTCTGAAAACTAGGGCTCTAAGATGCAGGCTATCACAAGCAGCCAGGCTCCAACAGGTCAGCCCACTGACTTTATCATCATCTCCCATTTGTCCTCTTCCAGGTGAATCTCAAGTCCAGCAATACGCCGCTCACACTGGTGTGGTCCTGCGATTCACCCCATCCTTTAAATCATTGGGGAAACAGTTATGGACCTGGAGGAACTCAGCAGCCGCCTCATGTTCAGGGCTGTACGTGTTCTCCGTCACACTGTCCCTCGCCATGGCGTACATAGACATCTCATCCAGGGGCCCACTGTTAGATGGTGCCCTCTTCAGACCCACCACTGGTGAGTTCTCGCGGGAAGCCTCTGTAGAATGAGAGCTGGTGTGTGACGTCCGCCGGCGGTAGCGGAAGCTCGGTATCCTCGAGTACGGGGAAGAGGAGGAGAGTGAACGAATAAACTCGCGACGCGCTTTCCAGCGAACTTCCTTGTTTTTCTCAATGTAGATGTTGATGGCGAGGACAGCCACAGTTTCAGCGACAATGAAGGAGAGGGCGCCAAAGTAGAAAGACCAGCCATAGGAGTAGGTATATTTCCTGTCATCATCACGTTTATCACTAGGATCTCCTGCGTTACTGGATATGTAGACGATGATGCCAATTATGTTGCTCAGGCCTGGTAAACAAAAGACAGGTAAACAAATGAGACAAAAACAAACAAACAAACAAACAAAACAAAAAAACAGGGAAAAGAAACATATAAGTGGTGTGATGTAGTGAAATAGCCCCAGCTTGTGACTCATGTATTACATACACCCCAGTGACAGAGATAATCTTCCTTAAATGTATGAAATTGAAACTTACCGGTCTTTTTTAAGGCTGTACTGTCGTTTCCTAACACTTTCCTGAATCCTCATAGACCCTTCTAATGAATCAAAAATAATTCGGTCCAGTCCAGGAAAAATATCCATTTTGTCAGTTTTGTAAGAGTTTGCTATTCAGAAAAGTAAAAATGGCGACAGGAAATGACACCATCTTCATTTATATGAGATGAATGGACATAACTGAGAAACTCATTAAAATTATATTTCTCCTGGACTCGACCACATTATTCTAAATTTAACGTAGTCAGAAGAGTCTATGAGGATTTGGGAAATACCTTCAGCATTTGGGTGACTGTTATGAAATGAAGATATGGGGTTAAAATAGTCGGTCGGTTTCAATTTCACACATTCACGAGAGAGCTCTGTGACTCTAATGTATGTAATACATGAGCTTCATAAGCTGGAGCTTGGTGAAACCCCTGTACTGCCACTGTTGTTCATCAGCCAGTGATTACACAGGACGCTCATCACTGCTGAGGCCCTTAAAGGAATGCATCCTCATCACTTGTGGGTGATGAACGAGGTTTGTCTTTACAGCTGCTCCACTGACGAAGTACAGTACATGACTGTGGGTGTTGTATCAAGCTGCCTTTCTTCATTATCAAACCCCAGGCATTACTTGCTGGGAGCACAGCTGACAGTGTAAGTAATCCTCCAGCTCACCTGCAGCTACAAAGAGAATGCCTGCACTGAGGACGACGTTGTTTGTCTTGTTGTAGAGTCGGCCCACCCCGACACACAGCCCTCCAAGCATTAAAAGTATGGTGCTGAGGAGGGGGAACACACTGGAGGCACGAACTATGCCTGCAGAGACAAAGAGCTCGTTATCTAAGTTGGAGTCAGCCAGATGATTAAATCATAAAGCATGTTACGGATCCCCAGTTCAACAATAACTAGATTAATAGCAGGCAAACAGAGTGTGGAATATGTAAATTAATGTAACACAGCTCTTAAAATGAGACTTCAATAATTTCAATATTCATTTCACCATTGAGCCCTCATCTATCCAGTCCCACCTCTTTTCCTTCCATTTTTGAGAACTCCATTATCATTTATACTTTGGGGCCTTGTTTTAACAAAGCTTTGCTAATCAGCTGTGGGCTGTAACAAGAGCTCTCACTGACCACCACCTCCCAGAAATGAATCACTGTGCCATTTTGCCAAGTTTCTGAGGTTGGATGAGCTTATTCAACTGTAAAATCTTTCATTAAGCCCTGCTTTTGTATAGTCTGGCTAACGGACTTTGTCCACAGGGCTGATAATTCGTCTATGTTCTGCTCTTTAAATGAAGGTCCTTTGCTGATTGACTATCCTCATTTTATATCAAACTAATCACAGTTTACATGTAAACCTGGTTGTTTTTATTTTTAACCAGTTTTCACAGAAAAATGGTGCAGATGGTTTAGAATGGTTTTAATAAGGATTTCATCTCCCCGTGCAGCCAGATACTGCTGCTACGAGAAGACTTCACCACATGAGAGGGAGTTCTTCTTGCAGCGAGCACAGCTCATTGCACTCAAGTGTGAGAACAAGTCAAAAACTAAGGTAAATAATTACCTTGCTGTCAGGCTGCAATTAATTTCCCCATCATGTTTGTAATGCAACCCTGAGCCCATTTAACATCCGTCTTACTGAATGCTATCACAACTCTCTGCTCATTTTATGCATTTGTTTTGCATTTGATCAATCTCTGTTTAAACGAGTATTGACCAAATAAGACAGGGAAGGTCGGTGGATTTCCTGCTTGCTGTTAAAAATAAAAGACAGACGGCCAGACAAAGAGGACGAGCAGGGAGCACTTACGCAGCAGGTATTCAGAGCTGTCTGTGTCATAGTCGTTATCGTCAGGGAAATGGTTGATTCTGTAACAGCTGCCTTGATTGAGGCCTGCGGAAAGAAAGACAAAGATACAGTGCAATTATTATAGTGCAATGCGCACATCAAGGCGCCTTAGGAGTCTGATATATGTGATGATTAATAGATGAGGACTGTTTCGCCTACAAATACTATGGTGAATATATTATTAAGTTGCTTTGAGGAAAGCTAATGTTTAAATGAATTTATTCAATGCTTGCAGTTGCATTTATTTGGATTTATCTATGTCCAGTTGGTTTCAGATGTGTAGGTGCTGGAGTCAGAGCAACAACTGCTCCCTCCCCAGTGACCTGCGTTTGTTCAGTTGTGTCAACTGGAGTAAGACACTCCTGTGTTCCTGCTGCTGAAAGAAGAGGATGGAGTGAGAAGTCACGTCTCAGGTGACTTCTGGTTATTTTTCATGGTTTAACGGTGCTGCTTTGTTGACAACACAGCCTTGCTGATGGGATGAACTTTATCTTCCATGAAGGTTTATTTAGTGTTACTTATATATTTGTTAGCAGAACCTTAACACTGAGAAAGAACTTGTAGGTTGCTCATACAGGCCTTTTAAAGATCGTTTAATAAGCATTTTATTCTAGAACCAATGTTTTTCTTTTTTCTGTCAGTGTTAAATTGAGACTCTTCTTTATTGCTTGAGATCAAATTGGAGGCATACATATAAAAGACAAAAGCTACACATTCTCATGAAATAACTCATTATGTTATCTACGGTTTTCACTTTCAACCACTGAAGAAACTTTGACCTGTGACACCTTTGTCAATCATCAATCTGACCATCTAAAGCTCACAGCTCAGCACACACATAGCTGAAGTGTGAAGAGGTGGGTTGTGTTTCAAGGATCCGTGCACACGCTGGCTGTATGCTGGCATGATTAGAAATGCATTACCCAGTGGGATTTGATGCTCAAATCCAGCTCAGGTGCCGTGAGGAACAACAAGCCCATCTGAACAACAGTGCTGGAAGATTTCAATGCCAAGGTGAGTTAGAATGGGAGAATGGAGTGGAGCATGAGACAGAGAGAGAGAGAGAGAGAGGTTAAAGCTGAGAGAATTCTGGAGCTGTAATTGAACAGGAGTATAAACAACACCTTGTCTAGAGAGGAGAGGGTTGGGGGTGGGTTTAATGGATGTGCTCAGTACAGTATGGTAATGCTGGGAGCATTTTTAGTTATTCATTCACCATTTGGGCTGTGAATGCCCGCAACACTTTAGTCATTCCACCAAAAACACCCACAATACTAAAGGTGGACTGGGCTGTGCCTTGATTTGCATATATTTCCATAAGTGTTCCTGTGCATTATGAGTTCATCTTTGCATTTGTCTGAAGCATAATAGGGAAAGCAACTGGCCTTAGTTACTGCTTCTATGCCTGTCCAGCATTCAGTTCAGTTTACAACAGTGCACAGTTACCTTTCAGAATCTCACACAGGGTTTTCATTTCTAGCTGATGACTGTCAATTTTGAGAAACTGATAACTGCAGTTGGCAGACTGTATCAGCTGTTGCTAGCTCTCTAACTGGGCTAACGCTAGCTCTATAAGTTTATTTAAAATGATGTCTCCTTGTGGGATAAATTAATACATTTCTACTGACTTGTAACATTGTACCAGCTGCATATCATTGATGGCTGCATAGCTGATATGCTAAAAGACTGAGATTAAAACTGCCTGTGGCAGGTGCATCGTACTTTGATAAGAATATAACACACAACATGTCCGTTGTATCATAGCCCTCTTTGTGCTTGGCTTAAATGTTGGTGCTTTCAAACAGTATATTATTTACACACAGTGGATGTGCATTGGCCTGACATAATACCAAATGCAGATTATGTTAGAGTGAAAAAACACAGTTTAATCCATTCTTTATACTTCAGATCTAGTGTTGCTGGTTTTGAATGGGATGAAAAACACAAACAGAAAGACACCGCTTTCCAAATTTCAATGCCAAGCATCTCTCTTACTCAGGCCGTACATACACTACTTCAGCATGTGAAGGCAAACGTGCTAGAGCTACTTATGGCTGCTAAGCTATGATTGGACAGTCATTACTGTTTGGTAGAGGGGCCGTGCTCTGTTAGCAAAAAGACTTTTCTTTATCCCAGAAATATAAAGCGTTCTTTTTATCCCTAATTGCAGCAGAGATTAGAGATGACCTGCCACCACATAAATGTCAACCTTCCCATTAACTGACTATAGCAATGACAGACAGACACCTGTCAAGCCCATTTTCCATGTGCCCATCGGTGAGACGCACAGCCATCATTGTCTGTGGCACAGCTTTTAAGGGCATGCTTGATTTTATTAACTAGGTCTGCTGTTTAATGAGGGACATCAAATTAATTAGTGTCAAATCAGTCGGTGGAAATGGAGCACAAGTTTCTAATACAGGAAAAAAGCTACGAACTATTTTAAGCAACGATGTGACACTTTGTGCAGTGTGAAAAAACACATCTGGCTGATGTGCTTAGATCAAGAACAGTGACAATAACAAAAACACAGACACCTCTGCTATTCTGTTAATTGCTGTGTAAACACTAAATCATGCTGCACAGCCAGAGCTTGTAGAAGATTTTAACAAACTGCACAGAAAAACACACCTTTCCCTGCAAAACACGAATGCTACTATTCATTTTAATGTGTGCACAGTATTATCCACCCTTGGCTGCAGTCCAGACTGGAGCCTGTCTGATGCCGCCGACTTGTCTTCTGTGTGTGTAAAATGGAAGAAATAGAAAACAATATTGCAACTGATTGGAAATCTGATTATAAGCAGAGGTCTCAAGGCTCGTGATTTATGAGTGATAAATATCAGCTCAATGTCTATGTTTAGTTTGTGTGTATGTGTGCAGGTTGTCAGATGGACTCTTGGCAAAATGAAAGCCTGAATACTGACTCACTGAGAGGGAAGGAGGAGGGAGGCAGTGGAGATTAAACAGGTATGAGGAAAGGAAGCAACAATGCACGGAGAGCAGAGGAATGATGGGGATGGGAAAAGCTGAAGCCACATTAAAGAGGAGAAGAGGAAATCACAGAGAGAGTAAACAGTAGAGAAAGTGTTTAAGGGCAAAATGTGAACACAGGTTTTTTTCAAGATGCTAGTGATAAAAAAGCTGTTAGAGAAAGTGCTTGCCCACAAATTTGTGGGATGCTGGTGTGTATTGTTACAAACTGGGTATTAATCTTACACAGTCTACATATTACACGGGAAGTAATGGGTTCCCTGGGCCTGACTGAAGTTGCAAAGCCCCATGCTGAGCGTCTCCTCCTCTTCTCCATGGCAACCCCTGTTAGTCTTTAATAAGCTCATTTACATAAACAATCTCCAAGGATGCTTTCAACATCTTCAGCCTATTTTCATGTACCCAACCCCTTTCCCATTCACAGATCTGTCAGCACTCAACAATACATGAATGTGAACACAGAATGACACATGCACATGTAAACATACACATACAATGTAATAGGCACAGCTGTCACAGCTGCGGTGCCACTGGCAAGAGGATGATGCATTGTCATTATTCTGAATTATCGAAACTCAGCCAATAGGTGAGCAGGCTCAGTCGAATACATCAAGTGCAATGTCTTATTGAGTCCAACCCTTGCTCACTCTGGTGTCTCCAGGAGCACAGTAAATCATGACAACAAGCTCCATGGGACACATGCCCCCGCTTCCTTACTTTCACACTTCAATAGCTCTGCAAAAAGACTGATGAATAAACCAGTCAAAAGTGACTTTAATCATGCTTTTCAGTAGCACTGCATAGCCTCCACTGGATGATATACTTACAAAAGTGCTGCACCTAATACATCTACAGCAAAAAGGAGCAGCAGTACCCTGAGCCTCGTTGTTTTAAGATCTGTGACAGAAAGTGTGACCGCTGATGAGGAGGAGGAGTGGTCTGAGGTTCCCAGCAGGTGTGATAATTAGATGTTATCAAGATGTAAACAGAGAGAGCACTGTTTCTAGGGCTTGATATCAAATGCAGACATGCACACACAAGTCAAACAGACTTCATAACACATACAGTTATTACTTTGGAAGCAAGGAATGCAGGGACAGAATATAAAAGCATCTGTGTAATCAAACAGACCCCTCCATTTTTTCAGTCCAACTGAAGATGAAAGAAAAGCAATTTGGCAAAGACATCAGTGATTCAGTGTTGATATGACTGACAGTTGGTTAATTAAATTGTCACCAAGCTACAGTTTCTTCACGCATAGCTCTGCTTGGGATAGACTGTGCATGTGTATCTACAGTGGCAGAAGAAAAGTGAGATGGATGCTGTGAAGGATGTGCTTTGTCACATAAAAATGTACATACATCCTTTATTCTCAGCAAGGTTCTGATCATTTTCTTTATTGTGCATGACACCTCTACCACTGCAAACCATATGCTCTTTTCTATGTTCCATCCATCCATCCCTTATCTATGCCACTTATTCCTGAATAGGGTCATGGTGGGGGCTGGAGCCAATCCCAGCTGACACTGGGTGAGAGGCAGGGTCCACCCTGGACAGGCCGCCAGTCTATCACAGGGCTGATATGTAGACCAACAACCACACACACTTGATTTCAGAGTCACCAACCAACCTAAGCTGCAGGTCTCTGGACTGCAGAAGGAAGCCAGAGTAGCCGGTGAGAACCCACTCAGGCACATGAAAACTCCTCACAGAAAGGCACTGGGTCGGCCCGGGCTCAAACCCAGAACCTTCTTGCTGTGAGGCCACAGGGCTAACCACTGCACCGCTGTGGCACCCCTCTTTTATGTACAGTATTTTATATTTCTAAATGAGGATATAAAGTTGAGGTCAAACTATGTTGAATTTTGGGTAAATGTGCCATTTTTGGAGCATCAGTCTTATTTTAAATTGTAGATATATAGACTATATAAATATTTGTATTAAAACAATGAGGATAAGATCAGATGCCACTTAAGGCTATCAAAAATATATTTTTATGAATAATTATATATATATCCAACCTCATACTTTTACTTTCACATCATCTTGTC